CCTAAACGGTTCTGGCCCCGCTTACCTCTCCGAACGCATCTCCACCTATGAACCGACTAGAACATTAAGATCTGACAAAATACCTGTCTGACCGCATCTCGGCCTATGAGCCCACGAGGACTTTGAGATCGTCTGGGGAGGCCCTTCTCTCGATCCCGCCTGCCTCACAGGCACGCCTGGCGGGGACGAGGGATAGGGCCTTCTCGGTGGTGGCCCCCCGGCTGTGGAACACCCTCCCTGTAGACATCAGACAGGCGCCCTCCCTTATGACATTCCGCAAGAGACTAAAGACGTGGTTGTTTGAGAAGGCGTTTGACTAAGTGCTACAACAATTGGCAATGATGACTGGAACGGAACATGGATAACGAGATTGGATTGTGATTCTACGATGAGACGTCGCGAATGATTTAGTGTAATTGTATTATTGACAGTGATGTTGTTATTGTTGTTTGTGATATTGCCTATATTGTAATTTGTTTTTTATATGTTGTACACTGCCGTGAGTCGCCCTAGGGCTGAGAACGGCGGTCTACAAGTGCATTAAATAAATAAATAAATAATAAATGACCGGCACATCAGAGATTTCAAGACTATGGCAACTATACTAACAGTAAAGTTGGGATGAGCAGATGTGTAGGATTTGAGGACCTAGTCTGGCCCTTCCCAACCCCACACAGCTGCAGTGATACCATTTTCAGAAATTAAAAGCAATGCTCCAGCCAATTCCAGTCATTTAGAGTGCCCTTGAAACTGTATTTGCTGTCAGAATTGGGGTCCCTGGAAGCATTCTCCAGTTGAAAACAGCTTTTAAAGGTATTTTTAAAGAGAAGTCTGTGGAGATGAAGGAACTAAACAGTTCTCACCGCTGTTTTAAGCAAAAGCGGCTTATCTCCAAATTTTTGTAATTCTTCACCATAAAAGCAGAAATTATGAATGCCAAGCAAACCAAGATCTGCTTACTATGCAGATTCACACAAAAACGGGCTTCACATTAACTGCCCTATAGAACTAAAACTTGTTATTTGCCAAGATAAAATCCAGCTTCCCTATAGTATTTCACAACCAAGATTTCTGTTGCTATTGAAGAGTATGTACTTAAAATTGTAAGTACTGTATTCCAAGTGGAAAAAATGAAACAAATGCTTCATTTATTCCTTTTGTTTTGCTATCTATTGACTTGTTGCTTTTAAAAACTGATTCAGACACAAAGTAATACGCATTAAAAGGAAGAAAAGAGAAATAAAGGGAAAAATATAACTAACACACTATAGGAGCTCTGACCTACCAATTCCAATATATTATTTTATCAGTACAGATCCAACAAATAATCCTACTAATTACTGATAGCCATAATAACATTATTTCATCATTATAATTCTTATTGCTAAAGAATTCCATAGAAACACGTTTTATTTCTGACCTGCATTAGTAAGACAACCTACTACAGAAGCACCTTAAGAAAATGTTGCACTCACCTAGATTAGTAAGCAACAGGGTCCATAGAGATCCTTCCTCAGCTTCAAATGAAATTTTGGGAGGATTATAAGCCTAAATAGAAAAAAAAACAATGATTACAAGGAAAACTTTAGTCTACAGCTCTCCACCTTACTGGTTTCATATTGCTTCTGGTCACTTTTCTACTAACTACTTCCATTTCAAACTTGAAACAGATAATTCACATTACTTCCCATATAAAGTGATGTGGGGGGGGGGGGGGGCTTTAATTTTGCAAGCCTTTTTAAAAGACTGGGGGAAGAATGCCCCAGGGTTCAACTGTGAAGTATTCTAAGGTACTACTGGATTGCTCAAGGCTCTTTTTTCTCCCTCCAAACAACCATTAGAGTGACCACAGCTTTCACGCTTGGTAAAATACCTCTGTGGGTGTAATTATATTCCCGTGATAAACTGGCATAACATATTCCTCATCTTGGTCATATTCCACTCTTAAAAGAACTCGGGGAACAAACGTGGCATCATCAAACAAATCCCGATACAGTCCATAGTGTTCTGCTATTCTCTGTCTGTGATAAGGGCCACTGGTTCTCTCCCATTCGGCTTTGACATCATCAAGTGGAATCAACACTGCAAGCAAAAAACACAACACAGAGGAAAACTAGGCAAATAAACTCTAGTGAATGCAAAAGTGACCAATGTGACTAGAGTTATATCAAACATACATTTCCGAAGGCGGGATGCTCTTTCCAGTTCAACATTGTTAAGGTTTTGTGCCCTTATTGCTCTTCTCTCTTTAAGCTTATTTTTCCATGATGTCAGAGGATAAGGTAGGCCAATATTTATCTTTGCCTCTTCATCTAGGGTTGAAAAAAAGAGAGGAGATGAGGAGAATGAGAGAGAAAGAGACAGAAAATTAAAAAACGATGTGTTTTCTACCATCATTTTTTGCTGTGGGACAAATGGAAAATACTTGAAGAGATGTATAATAATAATCATCATCATCATCATCTTTATTTATATTCCGCTCTATCTCCCTAAAGGGACTCAGGGCAGATTCCAAACATAAATGGCAAACATTCAATGCCCAAATACAACAACAATACATCCATACTAACATAATTTGTACAACCCAACACATAAATATGAATTTTAACTTAACAAACTAAAATTAAATAAAAAGCACAGACATAACCGTATCTTGCTTTATATTAATGCTCAGGAATGCAAACCACCCAGTGTAGAAAACTGAAGTCTCATCTCGACCCTCTGATTTATATAAAATCTAAACCTATGTGTCTCTATACTTGCATGCACATGGCTTTAAAGTGTATAAAATATAAAATACAACACAGAAGCCTACTATAAGGCTGTCAGTTTCTAGTCACTTTGTTCTTTGACAATCAAGGATAATTCTGTTTCTCTTTTGTAAGTCTGTCATACACCCTTTTCCCTATATGCATCCTTTAATCTGAGTAAGCGTAATAAATGAAAATGACTCCTCTGGCCTATTTTCTTACACATTAATAAGAAATAGGTTCCACTTTATTTCAAAAGCTTTTTTTTTCTGAATAAGTGTACAAAAATGTACACTTATTCAGAGAAAATACAACAGGACCAGGTCTTTGAATCTGGCTCTTGGATTGATACCTTGCGGTGGAGTACTGCGTTTCTTGTAGGTTGGCCACCAATGAGGCTTTTGACTTTCTTTTTCTGCCACCTTGAAATAACGAGTGAAGGTCCGGTACTTTTCTAGTGCGTCCAAATTACTCACGTCAATATCTTCATTAGGCATTGGTCCCAGCGGCACCCCCAGCTTGTGGAGAACAACTGAAAACATAAATTGTGTAGTAAAAATACACGTCTGAGTATCAGCAGAGTTGAATCTCTTCCATTCAAGTGAAAGTATCCCAGGAGCAACAACAGAAAAAAAAAGAAACCAAGAACATATAGTTAATGCCAAAATAACAGTGATATTAAATCTAAGACAAATTTTACATATGGACACTTATGTGAGTGCAAACCGTGAGAGATTTGTATGTTCACAATTTTTATTTTGCACTGCATGATAAAAAAGGGTGACATGTGATTCAAGCACAGTTTTTTTCAGAACCTTCATATATTTATAAAGGTACAAAATCATTTCCCAAGATGAGTTTGCTTGTCTTTCAAATTTAGTAAAGGATCTCCTGCCTCTAAAATCAAATGTTTTATGCATCCTCTGACTCTGTGAAGTCAATTGTTTGCCACAAACTGGTATAACAAAAGCTGTCGAAAGTAGCTGAGCTCTAAACCAATAAGAACAGAGAATAACCCTACTTTTTTTTTTACTAGGGTCCCATCTACATGTCCATGTCATGCAGTTAAACTGCATTTTGAAACTGTATTATATGGCTATGTAAACGGTAGCTGAGATCTACAACGATGAAAAAAAAGATTCATCTTTTTTAAAACTGTAAGTCATCCAAATGCTGTCTTTACAGTCACATTAGACAGGCATCACTGTTGTTGTTGTAGTATTTGTACCCTGCTTTTGTCTCTGTAATTGAGCCCCAAAGGAGTTCACAGGAATTAAAAGAGCAAGAGAATCATAGAGTTGGAAGAGACCTCATGGGCCATCCAGTCCAACCCCCTGCCAAGATGCAGGAAAACTGCATTCGAAGCACCCCCGGCAGATGGCCATCCAGCCTCTGTTTAAAAGCCTCCAAAGAAGGAGCCTCCACCACACTCCGGGGCAGAGAGTTCCACTGCTGAATGACTCTCACAGTCAGGAAGTTCTTCCTAATGTTCAGATGAAATCTCCTTTCTTGTAGTTTGATGCCATTGTTCCACATCCTAGTCTCCAAGGAAGCAGAAACCAAGCTTGCTCCCTCCTCCCTATGACTTCCTCTCACATACTTATACACGGTCATGGCGTTTCCTCTCTGCCTCCTCTTCTGCAGGCTAAACATGCCCTGCTCTTTAAACCGCTCCTCATAGGGCTTGTTCTCCAGACCCTTGGTCATTCTAGTCGCCCTCCTCTGGACACATTCCAGCTTGTCTACATCTCCCTTCAATTGTGGTGCCCAGAATTGGACACAGTATTCCAGGTGTGGTCTAACCAAGGCAGAATAGAGCATGGGTAGCATGGCAATACAATTTCAAATCTTCAGCATATAAATATTAAAATAGGATTAAACAGACCAATTGGGTTAAAATAACATAAGAAGTGGAAAGCACTTAAAATACTTAAAATGCTATACAGAATCCTCCTGGCTCTGTGCGAAAGGCAGTGACAGAGCCAACTAATTAAGATTAAGATGATGGTTTTAAGCACCGCATAGAAACACTTCCAAAGGGCAGTCCCAACCACTCAAAGGAAACGGCCCATTGCCATCCGAAGCGAAAGGAAATCAGGCACAGGAATAGCCAGCTACCGCCCAGAAACACTCGCGGGTGGATGCCCAAAACACCGAAAGAGGAAACCCCGCATGCCAGGGTCTCACGCTGCCGAGGAAAACGAAAGCCCGCTTTCCGGGAAGCCAGAGAGCAGCCGCCCCTCACCGCTGGTGCTGAAACCTCGGCCCACTCGCCCTCGGCGCAAGAACGCCCTCAGCGCGGGCGCCGCCATCTTGCCGGCTTCCGAGGCCCTCCGCTCGAAAGGACCCCAGGCAAAAGCTGATGTCGTCACTCGGCGGCGGCTGTCTTCACAAGTGCCTGCCAATAGTTCCATACAGTTGACATACAGACATTTTTTTAAAAACCCAAAGTAGTGCCAAGGTGGGAACTATTTAAAATAGCGAAGAGTAGACACATCACCCTGGCAACAACGATCCGCATAGTTAAAGCCATGGTATTCCCTGTAGTCACCTACGGATGTGAGAAGTCACCTACCTTAGGGAAGGCTGGGCGAAGGAAGAGAGATGCTTTTGAACTGTGGTGTTGGAGGAAAGTGCTGAGAGTGCCTTGGACTGCGAGAAGATCCAACCAGTCCATCCTCCACGAAATAAAGCCCGGCTGCTCATTGGAGGGAAGGATACTAGAGACAAAGTTGAAGTACTTTGGCCACATCATGAGGAGACAGCAAAGCCTAGAGAAGACAATTATTCTGGGGAAAGTGGAAGGCAAAAGGAAGAGGGGCCGACCAAGGGCAAGATGATGGATGGCATCCTTGAAGTGACTGAACTGACCTTGAAGGAGCTGGGGGTGGCCACGGCCGACAGGGAGCTCTGGCGTGGGCTGGTCCATGAGGTCATGAAGAGTTGGAAGTGACTGAACAAATGAACAACAACAAACATGGGGCAAAAGTATGATAGCTGGGACCCTACGCATAGCTGAAACCTGTATGCTGGTTGCACAAAGCGCGTCAGAATTAATGAAGGGAAGTCCGCTTGGACTGTTCCCAGCTACTGGGGCTTCTTTCTTCGAAGGGCAGAAAGTATGCTGGCGGCCGGGGAAGGTTTTTACAAGGCCCTAGTGCAAACCCCCCTCCCCTCTTCTTCTACTTTCCCCTGCTTTCTAACAGTGGAGGAGCCGGGGCTCCAGGAGGGCAGGACATGTGAGCCATAGACCCCCCCCCCTCCTCCTCCCTCCCTTGCAACTGCATCTGTCACTCACTGCGCTGTCTTGCACAAGTGTTCCCTTCATGAATTCTGATCCACGGTGCGCAACCAGCATAGGGTCCCCAGCTATCATACTTTTGCCCAGTATGGTACTGTTCCATTATCCTGGCGGGGGCCACAAGGAGGCGCTAGTCAGAGAAGGATAGTTCATTTTACGGGGTGGGGGGGTGGGGGKGGGGTTGAAGAAGTTAAACCATTTCCTGCTGCTTTCCTGTTATTCCCCCCACCCATGTCACCTTCCTGGAAACAACCCTTGTTTATGGAAAGGGAAATGGGGAGAGGAAAATTGTTTTCCTCCTTCAACTCCCCCCCCCCCCGCCCCAAAATGCATAATCCTTCTTTCTCTAGCACCTCCTTTTGGCCGCATATGGATAATGGAACAGTACCAAAGAGATAAATAAATATAAATAGCTATAGGGACAAGCTGAAAAGAAAGCAGCTGAACAGTTGTGATAATCAGATGAATCCTGGAAGTAGAGATTTGGTGTTTTAAAATATATTTTATTTGAGTTTTGTTTAAAGAAATGAAAAAGAAAATGGATATTGTAACATTGAAAGTGGGAGAACAGTATCATACATAGTAAAGTAGGAAATGTAAAAAAATAATAAAGAAAAATAGAAGGGTATATATATGTGTGTGTGTGTGTGTGTGTGTGTACAAAAATATAAAAAAGAAGAGGAAAAAATAGAATATATATATATATATATATATATATATATAAAAACTAATAATAATAAGGAAGGAAAAAAGGAGGATATTTTAACATTGAAAGTGGGGGAACAATATCATGTATAATAAAGTAGGAAGAAAAAGAGAAAAGGAAAAAAAATCCACAGAGAAAAAAAGGTTGTTAACTTCTTTCTACTTTCCGATGGTCGTTTAGTCTTTCTTAAGATAGTGTTATCTAGTAGTTAGTTTATTTCCCCTCCGTGTTCTTTGTCTTTATGATTGATTCTATGTAGGATATCAACTCTATTTTCAAATGACTGAAGTAATCCTTTACTGGATCCCAAGTAGTTTCTTTCTTTGATAAGTCTTAGTTTAGTGAGAGCCAATAGGCAAGTTTATCCATATTCATAATCTCTAAAAAGCTGGTGATAGACTGCATGAGTCTGGAGACCAGGATTCAAATCCTTGCTTGGCTAGGCTCAGCCAGGGGAGTCAAACCCATGTCCATCAAGGGTCACGTCAGTATTATGGCTATTTCCAAAGAGCCACTGAATGCATGGATAGTGCGCTTTAGTTTTTACCCAGTTTGAGTCCCCAGATGCTTTTGAGAGAACTCCCATCACTTTTGATTATACACTGTACAGACAGGGGATAAGGAGAACTGTAACCCAGTGGATACAATGGACTCATTGTAATAGGCATGATTATGTTCTGATTAGCCTAATTAATGATGTTGGGTGTATGTCTATCATACTGCAGGTGCTTATGTTCCAAATACGCGAAGCTTAATGTTGTGATTGTGATTCATCAGCAGAGGGCGAGAGTACTGTGAAAATGGATGCAGAACGATGTTAAATTTAGAAAAAAAAGCACCTAACAGAGGCTGCCCTACTGGGTTTCTGAAGAGAAAAATAAAATCAAGTGGTTTATTAAACTGCACGTTCTTCAGGCTATCAAAATTGTGACTCTGAGGTTGGGGAATGGTTAAAGGACATTTTAAAGCATCATATCCACAAGCCTTCTATCTAAATCCAAACCCCACTCTCCTGACTAAACAGAACAACCTGGGACAAATGTCCAGATCTAGTTTGACACATGCAGACTAGATGAAAGCCTTCTGGTGTTATTCTGCTTCTTAGGAATTGTGGGAGTTGAAGTCCAAAAAACCTGGAGAGCTGAAGTTTGCCCATGCCTGATTTAGAATGTGTATACTTAGGTTGTATGTTGTAGTTTCTTTTGTATATAAAGAAAAATTGTCTTGTTTTCTATGGTAGTGATTTTTGCTTCATTCCTTTTTGTTTAAAATAGGTAAAGGCTTCCTCTTGACATTAAGTCTAGTCGTTTCTGACTCTGGGGGTGTTGCTCATCTCTATTTCGAAGCCAAAGAGCCAGCGTTGTCCATAGATGCCTCCAAGGTCATGTGGCTGGCATGACTGCATGGAGTGCTGTTACCTTCCTGCTGAAGCAGTACCTATTGATCTACTCACAGTTGCATGTTTTTGAACTGCTAGGTTGGCAGAAGCTAGAGCTAACAGCGGGAGCTCGCCCCACTCCCTGCATTCGAACCGTCGACCTTTTGGTCAGCAAGTTCAGCAGCTCAGCAGTTTAACCTACTACACCACTAGGGGTGCCATCTTTTTGTTTTGTGTTGTATTTTATAAGTATGTTTTTTCTTGTGTTATGTTTAAATAAAAATTAATTTTTTAAATAAAAAATATTGAACTCTGCCAGTGCATGTGACAAAATGGATTGCAATTTGTGAAAGTTGATGCTAAAATAAATTCACCTCAGAGATACTGCTTTTTTTTTTGTATCAGGAGCGACTTGAGAAACTGCAAGACGCTTCTGGTGTGAGAGAATTGGCCATCCGCAAGGACATTGCCCAGTGGACACCCAGATGTTCGATGTTTTACCATCCTGTAGGAGGCTTCCCTCATGTCCCTGTATGGGAAGCTAGAGCTGAGATGGGAGCTCACCCCACCCCCCAGATTTGAACCGCCAACCTGCCAGTCCTGCCAGTAGAAGAGTGCGCCACTGGGGGCTCCATAGATGCTGCTAGATTCCGCTTTTCCCTTTTCTTGTTGTATTTATGAGTCATTTTTCTTTTCCAGATCTCCATCCCATACTAACCCTCAACTAGCAGTGAGTTTCTATTCTGCAGGCATTGAAGTCAGTCCTCATCAGGCTGCTTAGGGAATCCTCCTAACTGGTTTCTACTGTCTGCAAGGTTTTTTTCTTTGCAATTCTGCAGTTACTTTGGGTCCACTGATATCTATCTGTCTCTTGCGTTCCATACCTGGTGGCACTTAGAACGTGAAATCAAAATTAGAATGTAATGAAAATGCATAGTATTTTCTTGAATATATTAAGATTCAGGTCAGATTATTTATGCTGTATTTCATAAGAAATAGTTTCTTTCTCAAGGAGCGGTGTTAATTCCCTCCTCCCCCATTTCATTATAATCTTCATCGATAATCCAATAAAGAGAATATCTCTAAGTTATGCCCCATACTGTCATGATTACTTCCTTGCTCTCTGGAATTCCAAGTTATATTTCACAACGGATGCCATAATTGGCTTCTGTAGTGCTAAAGTAACTCATATAGAGATTGCTTCAAAGTCTTTTCCAGTCATAAAAACAAAACTCAATTTAAAGTTGTATATATGCTTCCTGAGCAGAAGAGCATCAAAATACATAAAGCTGGATCAAATGGATAATAATGTTGTCAGCTAGCTGGACAAACACTGGCCTGACCTATCATGGCCTTACACGCCTAAAAGTGGCTTGGTAAATATTTTCTGGTGGCACAGTGGGTTAAAGCACTGAGCTGCTGAACTTGCTGTCCGAAAGGTCGCAGGTTCGAATCCAGGGAGTGGCATGAGCTCCCGCTGTTAGCCCCAGCTTCGGCCAAACTAGCAGTTCGAAAACATGCAAAATGTAAGTAGATCAATAGTCATGCTGGCTACATGACCTTGGAGGTGTCTATGGACAACGCTGACTCTTCGGCTCAGAAATGAAGATGAGCACCAACCCCTAGAGTCGGACACAACTGGGCTTCATGTCAGGGGAAAACCTTTACCTTTACTGCTCATTGCTACACAGCCCATAATAGTAAATGTCAGAATAATAAATGTTAAGGGTATACAGTCTGCTGCAGGCCCCTTAACTATTTTGGAGCCTAATGTGTTTCTTCAGATGAATTTGAGGATGACCATACCCTGCAATGGGTTTCATGGGGACAGTTCCAATTAATCCCTCATTGCCCCCTTTTCTGCTCCTTCTGAAATGTTTTTTTGATTCTTTCTTCCACTTTCCTTCTTCATCCTCAGCTTACTTCATTTGCCACAAACTGAACTGAAATTACAAAAGCAGTAACTCAGCAAGTGGCAGGGGAGGAGTGGTAAAAAACCTTCCTAGTAAGCTCAGGAAAAAGGAAACTGCTGCAGCCTCTCCTATTTTATGTATTTTTCTTCAATAATAATGTTCCCCTCTTCACCACATTCTAATGTTTTTTTACCACACGTGTCCCAGTTTTCATCTATGAGATGTTGGAGGATATAATTTCCTCATCTCATGTACCCTGATAAAATTGAAAAGTTCTGATATTCATCTATGCATGTAGTAACGCTTTTGCCATTATTCTTCTCTGCTTTATGTCTCTGCTTTTTATTAGTTTCTTGCCACACAGGCAGAAGCCTAAATAAGCAGCATTTGCCTCTGTGATAGAAACTAATAAAGAAGGGGCTGAGCGTGACATGTGAAGATTAACTGTCCATCTCCTTCTGCTAGATTACATTATCCAGGGAAGCTGAAGCGGGGAAAGCTAAGGCCATCCGACCATTCCTCTAAGCAGGTTGTTTTTCTCCAGCTCTAGATTTGATTAAGCTTTCAGGCCTTAATGTGATATGTGATGCTTTTAGCACAAACAATGAATCACAGGCAGGACAAAAAGCACAGACTAATATGTTTGCTTTGAATAACACAAAGTCATGCAGAGAAATAATGAAAATGAAAAAGATGGGGAAAATATTAGGGGGAAAGTACTAAAATGCTTTCTGTGCCTTCTGTCTATTCATATCACAAGAGTTTTCTGTAGGTTAGTCAGTCACCATTTCCTAGCCTAATAGGACCATGGTTCATTGAATGACAGCATGTCTGCTAATTTAAATCACCTTTTCACAACCACAATAGCTGCTGCCCCAACTAAATAGAAGATAAGTGTTTTCCCTTTCCATCTGTCAATCCATTTTTGGGAGAGCAGAAAGATAAAATAGCTACAGTATGATTCCTGTATCCACAGGGAATATATTTCTGGATTCACATGGATACACAAGTCTGCAGATAATAAAAAAAATCCTACTGAATAACAAATCTTTCAATTCTAAGTCATAACCAAACGCACCAGCCTTTTAAATGTACAATTCAACTCAATAACCATTCACCTTCAACGTCTTCCTCTAAAATGCTTCCTACAGATGATTTACTTTATCTTGTTTTATAAAACTGTGGGTGATGTGTGCCTCTGCTTCCAATTGATGAGACCTTAAGGTAAACCTATCATAGGGTTTTCTTGGGAAAACATTGTCCAAAATCAGCCTGCCATGGTCTTCCTCTTATTCCACCTGTACTTTAGCAGTCATTCAGTCTGCATCATTACCTACATGTCGTCTTCTGTAAACCAAGGGGAATTGTGGGCTTCACAGTACTGAAATAGGTATGGTACTTGTTTTAATGGCTCTTCCCCCCACCCCCCCCCCCATCCCACAATGAGACCAAGATGTTGATTATCATTCTTATTAACAGGAGTCCCTGGTGGCACAGTGGGTTAAACCCCTGTGCCGGCAGGACTGAAGACCGACAGGTCGCAGGTTCTAATCCGGGGAGAGGCGGATGAGCTCCCTCTATCAGCTCCAGCTCCTCATGCAGAGACATAAGAGCAGCCTCCCACAAGGATGATAAAACATCAAAATCATCCGGGCGTCCCCTGGGCAACGTCCTTGCAGACGGCCAATTCTCTCATAACAGGATGCTCCTGACACGACAAATAATAATAATAAATTCTTATTAACCACAAAATCCCCATGAACCTAAAGAATACTACTAATTTCTTAAATCTTTGTAATGAGAAATCATTTGACTATGGCAATATGGGTGTGGGTATTTCCTTCAGAAGCAAACTACCCTCCATCCATTCAACAAAAACCAAGATTCAAGGTACTATATTTGATTTATTTTTCCCCCTACAAACATCTCTAAAAATGCAGAGTAGTGTCTTAGAATCAAATAAATATGGTCTTTCCTGTCTTGTGCATTAAATTAACAACGTAATAAGGCAATGACCTGGTTATAATGGTAGCCATAATTTCTATCCAGCCTCATTAGCACAAATTTGGTGTGGATGTTGAATTTCCCCAAACCTATTGTCCTGGGGTTCTCCACTGCCACCTCTGAGGCCACCTTGGCCAGATTAGGCAGAAAGACCCCAGGGAAAGAGTATGGTTGGCTTACTAGGAACCTTCTTGTTCTATCTCTTTAGCCTAAAGCAGATACCTTCAAAGTAAGTGCCAAGGTGTTTGAAGGCGAGCAACTCCTCTCCACCAGTCCTCAAATTTAGGGTAGTGTTGTCTGAAATACCCTAGATTACTAAGGTACTCTACCAAGCTCATCTACCAAGGTTTCTGTTATGCACACAAGAGCAATGCAAAGTATTAAGATATTAAATGAGAAGTAATTGATAAATTGGGCCCCCTGGTGGCGCAGCGGGTTAAACCGCTGAACTGCTTAACTTGCTGACTGAAAGGTTGGTGGTTCAAATCCATGGAGTGGGGTGAGCTCCCGCTATTAGGCCCAGCTTCTGTCAACCTAGCAGTTCAAAAACATGGAAATGTGAGTAGATCAATAGGTACTGCTTCTGCAAGAAGGTAACGGTGCTTCATGCAGTCATGCTGGCAACATGACCTTGGAGGAGTCTACGGACAATGCTGGCTCTTCAGCTTAGAAATGGAGATGACCCCCCTCCCCCCCCCCCCCCCCCCCCCCCCCCCCCCCCACACACGCACCCTGAGTTGGACTCAACTACATTTAGTGTCAGGGGAAACCTTTACCTTTTATTTAATGGATAAATCATGCATTTTGAACACAAAACAGGAAGCTGTATTTTTCTGAATCAGGGAAATGAATACATCTAGTAGCTTTCCAGAGTTTCTGACAAGATTGTTTCCTAGCTCCCAATATTTGGTACACCTGTTGAAATATCATCCGTGTACTAACAAGGTCTGATCCTGCTTTACTTTCCCAGATCTAACAAGATAAGGTATGCTCATGATAGTATCGTTGTTGAGTTCTGCACTTTCTGATATAAACGTAGGAAGCATTAGAAGGAAACGGAGTCCAGGTTCAAAATTTACAAAAGGAACATGATGGTTGTCGCTTTGTGATTTCACACTATACTGCCTTATTAAAGACAGTAAAAAAAAAAAGATATAGGAGCACACAAGGAACAACACTTGGCCAGAACTTGGCTTTTAAACCTGAACTACATGTATAAGGGAGTAAGTCCCTCTCAACTTGATGGAAATGATTTCTAAGAAGACATTTACAAGATTGTACTGTATGTATATCAGTGACCAGCTTTGGCTAACCAGCAGCCTGAAGGGTCCATATTGAAAGGGGAGGAAAAGACCTAGAGTGATGACACAATATGATTGGTCTTCTTAGCTTGGCAATAGTAAAGTTTTAGTGAAAGAAATGTAAAAATAATAGCAGTCTGGCAAAAGCAAGAGTTTACAGGTATATTAAAAATACATTTATTTAACAAAATGTAATTTCTACCACAACAGGTTTTGACAACTTGCATGTTTAATTCACTGCCTCCCATCTAAATTATTTGACAATTCAGAAATGACAATCCATCTTGGTTTGAAAAAAACATCAATCCAGGCAAGCCTGCCTCCAGCATTCACCTGCTTTCATGCTGACTGAGACGAAGTCTTGTAGGAAGCTTTCTTCAGGGTTTCTAAGAAGAACTGCTCTTCCTCCAAAAAGTCGTGATCCTGTTTTATTTTGTTTTTTAAAGGGAAAGAAAAGTGATGAGAGAGAATTGCAATGAACAAGGAGTTCCTTGGTGGAAGAATGAAAAGGCTCTCCCACCTGGGTACTGAGTAGCCACAATGCTACTTCTTTTCTGTTCCATTAAGCAGTGGTTAGAATTTGAATTGTAATATGGGAAACCTAGGCCTAAAATCCCCTCTGGCCCATGAGATTCACTTGGCTGATCTTGCCTTAGTCACTCACTCTCTCATCTTGAGCAACCTTACAGGGTTACAGTACAGAGAAAGAAATGTCTGTGCACTGCCTTGAGTTCACAGGAGACCCAAATGGATATTAATCTGTAGTTCATGCAAACTCTGGTAGCTAAGCACAGCTCTCCCCCAGAGGAACATGTGTCAGAACAAAAACTAAGTTAAATACAAGATGAAAGCTGACTAGCACTCAGGGGACAAAAAGAAAAGAGTACTGATGATGGGATGTTCCAATCCATAGAAAGTCAACAGATGGATAGGAACATGGAAGTCCCCTTGTACTGTCAGGGATTCAGAAGGGTTCCTTCCTAACCAGGACTGGAGATACCTGATATCTCTTGGTAGTCTCCCATCTAACCAGACCTGTCTTTGTAGCTTCTTAAAAGTAAACAATGTTCAGGATGATATGGAGTCCTGTCCTTCCACTCTTACCCGTTCAGCTGTAAGCTTATGCAGCACCAGTTTGGCATACAGATCTGGTGGTCCTGATTTTGAGACAGCCTGGGAGCCTCCAGGTTTGCCAGGGTTTACTTTAGGAAGATCATTCACAGGAACAGACATATCTGAGAAGAAAATAGGCTTTGCTGTAGGAACATGGCAAAGATTACGTACACAGATACTACAGGTGTGCTGTCTACTGGAAAATGAAAGACAAAGCTTTTACTTGTCTCCATGTGTGTTTTGACCTCAGTCCTCTGAATCAGATGCTAGGAATGTGGCCTTGCAAAATTCTATTATCTACACTTATGTGAAAGGACCTTTCTGGATCAAATCAGCCATACAACCAATAAATTGTACATTCCAGTAACCAAGTACAGCTGTGGTTTGATGTCTTCTTTTGCTACAGGGCTACTTAAGAATATTTGTGGGCTTTGTTAAGGTCAAAAAGGGAAGAACACTGACAAAAGTAAATAATGAATTTTAAAATATCTCTATAGAAGAATTATTTATTGGTGTACTTTCCTCCCTATCTTTAAAGTAAGTGTTGTGCTTTTTGTGTAAAGGGAGAAAGCTTTCCGGGCACTGAACGATTACTCTTATTCTCTTTTTCAACTCTCCTAAGGGGGTTATTAGTGGTTCTGAAGCTACTTACAGTTCATGTTGGAGATTGTGTTGGACTGAACTCCTGACAATGGCATCTGAAGCAAACTCTGGAACACTAGTGGATTATTGGCTGGGAGTCCCATCCGCAGCTGTTCAAGCTGTCTCCTCTGGTGAGTCAAACTGAGGCGTTCCTGAGCCAGTTCAACAAGAGAAAGGGAAACATTTTAGGAGACTCTATGAAACTTCTACCTTGCAGCAATTTGATCCCAATCAGATGTGCTGTAACTAGTAGATTCTAGATGCTTCCAAGTTACCAAATTACTATGATGTCTCTGCTAACAAACAAATGCTAGCTGCAACCAAGAGCATTTTAAAATGTGATGCTCCTGATACTATAGCTGTGTCCCTCCTTGGAAAATCAGTTTGGCTACAATTACCCATGTCTTTCTAATCTCAACACCTATTTGGACATATTGTACTGTAATGTTCTCTTCAGTCTGTTCTTGCAAACAGTTCAGAGATTGCAGCTACTATAATAGTCCCTGTCTTAGAGGTTGTAAATTGGCAGAAGCTTATCAACATGGTTCTAATACTAACTCTACAGAGTGCCTTCAGCTTCAAGGCACTGGTATTGAAAAGTGTTGGATGAAGAAATTTTGCCACTTGAGGCATAGGATAAGATAGCATCCTTTCTACTTCAAGGCCCGCAAGCCAAATTAATTCCACTGCAACTTTGGTGATCCTCTACTACACTTGAAACCAGCAGTCTAGTTTATGGTTGCATAACAGGTCATGCAGAACTCAAACTTTTCAATACTCCTTTTTTGTTCTGAGCCTTTAAGTCCTTTCCATCTAATGGCAATTCTGAGGTGAATCTATTGCAGGATTTTCTAGGAAAGATTTGTCTAACGGGGGGTTGCCTTTGCCCTCCTCTAAGGCTGAGAACACAAGGATCACCCAGTGGGTTTGCACAGCTGAGTGGGGATTCGAGCCCTGGTTTGTAGAGTCACAGTCGATGCTCAAATCCTGACACTACACGGGCTCTCTCAGTTCTCCTTATTATCATTCTTTCTCGGATGGATTATCTAAGTATTAGGAACTGCAATGAGCAAAAATGGCATTGATATTTCATGTATCATCTTCAATAGGTCACCTGATGCAAATGTTCCTCCTGTTGCTTGACTCGCTCCATCTGCTGCTGTATTGCATGCAGTCTTGCTTGATGCTCTGATTCTACCTTCCGTGCCTCCAGGAGGGCTCTCTCCCCCTCTTCATACTTCTGAGAGGAGAGCTGTGGAGAACAGGAAACAGAATCAGGGCTTAGCTTCAATTACAGCCCCCTGGGGCTTTGACCCAGAACCTGTTTTACACCCCAGGGTTCAACCTGGAACCTCAAGGAGCAAATGCATGTGTAAAGCACCTTCTCCTCACTGCAGAAACATTATTTCACCACAGATTTTGGAAAGTTGGAACACAATGCTCATTTTTACAAAATTTCAGGGCTGTTGTGATCATGTTTTTTCAAAACGTTGGTTTTTCAGACTGGCCACAAATGTCATGCCCTTGTGTGATGTTCCCGTTCCTTTCTTTGCTTCTCACATACTAGCTTTGACAAAGTATCCAGGTTTTTAAAACTACACCTTCCCCTAACTTCTAAATCAGGAAATATGGTCTTTCTCCAAAGCAGTCTATGAAGTCAGGTTATGGAAGAGTGCTGATGATTTCTAAATACCTCAGGACGGCCCCAGTATCTGTGAGGGATATATTCCAAGACCCCCTTTAGGTACCGGAGACAATTGATAATAATGAACGTTATATTTTGACAATATTTGGGATAGAATCGTGATCTAAAAGTCCTCAAACACTTGGGGGGTGAGGAAATATTTTTGGAACACTGCTAAGTGAAATAGTGGATATTAAAACAGTGGGTGAGGGGGCTGATATTGCACATGAACACAATACTAAATTATGTGCCATGTGATGTGGAATAACTTATTGCTGTGAGTGGATGAGCAATTCCTCAACAACACTAAGTGGCCCTAATGAGGAAGTAACCAAAGATAACTACTTTCAATTAGAATGGTTAATTATATTATTCTCTGAAGTTAAAGGACATATGGCAACTATCTGATGCTTGGCCAAGAAACCCAAAAGTTAATGGTTTTCCTTCTTAATTTCATTGGGGCTGCTACTCCCATCTCTAACCATTTTTCCCTAACTGCTTCTGTCCTCAAAGTTATCCTTCAAATGCTGCCTTCTTCTTTGATTTACTCTTAGCACACAATTCACACCACATATTCTCCAACTTTTAAAGTAACATTTTAAGGATATTTATTATTCAAGTATTTATCTACATTCTCTCTCATCAACTCCAACTTCATAACAAAAAGTGTATCTTATGACTATAAGGTTTTACATTAAGTAGATTCAATAGATCTGTTCTTTGCAACAATAAAACTAAACCTTTACTAATAATATAATATAATATAATATAATATATATACATATAATTATTATAATATAATGTAATACAATATAATACTAGTCATAATAATACAATATTATAATTATAATTATATATTCACATTACATGTAATATTACTAATAATATTGCAATATAATGGTACAGTGCAATATAGTAATATATAATACTGATATTGTTCTGTTGCGTGCTGGGCCTGTAAAGAATTTCCTTTAGAATAGGACGTGCAACCTTTGCCCAGCGGGAAGCCAGGGGGCCCAAAGAGAAGTTCTCTGTGGTTTTCCACCATAAATGACCTTTAGATGGTTTGTGAAGTATAACAAAGTCTTTTATCAATGAACAATCAAACAGAAACTTCTCTTGTCTTCAATAAAGCTAAACAAATGCTTCCAGGCTTTATGCAATTGGTGACTTCCTAATCTTGCTCACGAAGGACAGGCAACCGTCTTCAATAACTTCTTCTTTACTTTAAATGAAAAAAACCCTTTTTAACTTCTCCCAGGCTGACTGTAATCTAACCCTTACTGCTGTGGGCTCCGCTACCGGGTCGAACTGCGTCTCGAAGCACTGAGTGGACCTACCAGCAAACGTTTAGATATTTTCCAGCTGGAGTTCTTTGGTCTTTAGGGCTGTTCTTCCCCAGAAAGTCTTCAAAGCTTTGGGGATGCTTCCCTGGAAATTCTTAAAAGTTGAAGCTTTTGTACAGGGGAAGCTTGCACACGTCCTGTACATAGCTTTCCTTGCTGAGACTAACTAAAAAATTGCTCCCTTCCCTTCCCAATTGCCCTGAGCAAGGGGCGGAACCAAAACTTAACGATGATGGACAGGTGACTTGCCCTATCACTGCAACCAAAGGAAGCCACCTGTCTGAAGAAACCCTTGAAGCCTTGGACTGCAAGCAAATATATAATACAAAGCAAATAAAGTGGGAGCTCCTGGCACAGCCGTACCAGCACAGATATTGTACTATGCTAATAATATTATATACTGTATGAAAATATGTATTGTAAGCCGCTCTGAGTCCCCTTCAGGGTGAGAAGGGCGGCATATAAATGCTGTAAATAAATAAATAAAACAAATAAACCTGAACAGCAAACATGCATTCTAAGGACTACATGGCCACACAAATAAATTCAACTGCCTTCCATGCAAAAGTAAGGAAAATAGGCCTGAAAATGTTCATGATTTAGAGCTGGAGCAGGGAACTTGGGGACTTCCAATTGTTTTTGAACTGCAAGTCCAAACAGTGAGGGGTAGTGGGAGATGTAGTCCAGCAACTCTGAGGAGGCTACATATTCCCTCCCCTCGATTTAAAGAAAGATGAATAAGATTTGTTTGTATATCCAGGCCTAGAAGCCAGACCTTCAGAACGTAAGTTCATTATCTGACTCATATGACTTATTCTCGTTCTTTTTCCAGACATGAAGAGAGCAGAAATATATCGGGCAGAAAGGTAGTTTTCTTACCTTGCTCATACTGTCAATTTCAGCTGTCCTCTGTTTGATGTGCAGAGCGGCTGCATTGACTCTTTCCTTTTCTAGTCTTAGTGCCTGCTTTTCTTGCTCCAGAACCTCTCTGTCTCTAGCCAAGTGCTCCTCTTTGGCTCGCAACTCACTGGCTTTGATTTTCAAGTCTGCTTGTTCCTAATAAAAGGAAACTCAGAGATGTCATACTTCTGTGAACAGGATACAAGGCAGCCCCAAAGCTTTCTATTGAAATAGACATACTAAATATAATGCCACTAAAAATTCCCCTTTAACTTTCAAAGGTAAATCAAAACATTTTATGCAATTTCTTCTTATTCAATATTTTTAATGTAACCCTTGTTAACAGCAACAAATAAACAAGTTCTGTTAACAATTTTATTTATAGTTCATTATTTTCAAGCTCTGTGAAGCTCAGCTAGAATGTAATGCTAGAGGAAAACATTTAGTTAATATTTAGTTACGTTTATAATTGTTTTGAACGTCTATATTGCATTTCCCTCTTTATATAGGCACACTAGTACAAGAAAATAGCAGAAGGGATTATTTATAATGATACCAGTCTCTAGATGTACACATAATCAATGCAGTTTTATTTTTATTAGCTTCTACAGGAGAAAGGGCTGCTGCTAAAGTTTTCAAATAGTTTTTTACACTCTCTCCTGTTGTTCGCCCCCTCCCAACCCGACTCTTATATTCTTATATTTTATTTTCTAAATGAAATACTCATAAGTTAAAGCACTGAGTGAAGACACTGAAAGACAAAAGTTCCAGAGCTGAGTATCTCCTGATGAAGTTTTTTTTTTACCTTTGCAAAACTCATGATGGCTCCTTCTCTCTTACAGTCCATCTGCAGAGCCCTGTCAACCTCCCGCTCTGCGCGCTCCTTGATCAGTCTTTGCTGGATGTGGAGCTCTGACCATTCTGCAGCAAGTTTACGGCGCTCTTCGGCACATTTCTGCATGACTGATTTCTGTTCCTCAAGCAAAGAATTCTCAAAACAAGTAAGATGACACAGAGAACCATTTATTTCTTGCATTTTAATTGCTGTCATTAGGTGCTTAGAAGGGGACTCCAACTAATGGCAACCTTATCAGAGGGCTTCCTTGGCAAAAGGCTACTCTTGCATTCTCCTTAGGCTGAGAGAATGTGACTCGCTTAAGGTGACTCACTACTTCATCACACTAGAGAATGAATCCACTTTAAATCTGGTTTCTGCCTTCTGTAGAATTCTAGGGCTTGTAGTTTAGTGAGGCTGTTAAAGGCTCCTCCCTAAACTACAAGCCCCAGAATTCTGCAGGAGGCTGAAACCAGATTTAAAGTGGATTCATTCTCTAGTGTGATGAGGTCATCAGTGGGTTTCCCAGTTTTGATGTAGACTTGAACCTTAGTTTTCCAGAATCCTTGTTCAACAATCAAAGAATGCTGGAAACTGCCAATATCTTATTCTCTCTGTGGAGTGCACTAGACAAACGTCAAATCCCATAAGAGAAGAACAATAATTGCAAAAACCTTGAAACTTCACAAGAGAATAATAATAATAATAATAATAATAATAATAATAATAATAATAATAATAATAACTTTATTTATAGATTGCCCTATCTCCCCAATGGGACTCAGGGCAGTTTCCAAGAAAAAAATAGCAATCATTCAAGCAATCAAACTATAAAGTGAAGTTAATATCAAAATAAAATCATCAACAGAAAAGCACACAGGATTATTGAAAACACTGATATGGATTTAATTTAGAAACAATTTTGCCCAAATATTTTCTTTATTTATTTGCTTCATTTATACCCCGCCTTTCTCACCCTTTTGGGGACTCAAGGCGGCTTACAACTCTGGAAAGATTCAATGCCCTTTAAAAACATAACAATAAAACATATCCCATCAACTAAAAACAATTAAAAACAGTTAAACAAATAAAACAACAAACAGATTAAAAACATAAAGTGAATGATTCCATTCGTCCATAATCCTTGCTCATAGTACTTTGTCTTCCATCAGCCATCTCTATTGTAAAATCCAACTGAAAAAATACCCCTGGCAACCAAAAATATTTTTCTCTCTTCTAAAAAAGAGCAATGACAAAACAGATGGCAATCAATATCTTCTCAACAGATTCTGCTCATACTATTCAGCATCTCCCTTCCCCTCCTCATGCTCTGGACTCTGGAGTGTGTTTGGAAGATGCAATGAGAAGTTGAAGGAGGAGATGAAATTACCCCTACTCATTTCATACAAGAAACATTAAAGTGATAAAATCTTATTAAATTTACAAGACAAATTCAGAGATGAAAAATTCAAAGGATGAATGTGTTCATTAATGGCTGAGGGAACCATTGCTATAATTTATATTTCTCACCATTTCTATAACTAAATATAGATATACATATATAGATACATGCACACACATACAGATACACACACTGTAAGACCTCTGTAACTATGGAACCTATATATCACACCAGGGGAAGAGTGGCCTCACTATGAATTTACTAGGTCTTCCAGGCAATTCTGTTATGCTTCCTACTGAAATCAACAGAGATAAGTTAAAGGACATGGCAAATTTCTAGGGAGGATACCTGTCTAGGATTCTCTAGGTCTTCCAATGCAACTATATAGTATTCTGAGACTAGAAATTAGATAATTTAATGGCATTTGGTCATATCCGTGCCTTCACATATCCATGGTTTGGCCAGAAACATATCCTCTGCAGAAATGGGGGCCTGACCATACAAATATTTCCCTCTAGTCCCAACTTGCAGCTTTGTATTGGATGTAGCAATTACAGCATGCTGAGAACATTCAATGTACTCAAGTGAATCCTTTTAACCTTTGCCCTTTCCAGTTCCTCCCTCTCCATGGCCAGCTGCTGGATCATGGCCCTCCTCTGCTCCTCCAGAGAGTGCTGCAACGATTCCACTTTGGATTGTTCTGTGGTTACTCTCCAGCGTTCCTTGAGGCAGAAAAACATGCGTTAAATGAGAGAAGGTCTTATCCCTCAATGAGGCAAAAAATCAAATGCAGTTGAGTAAGGCAAGCAGGAATGGTAAAGACCTGATACTATTCTAGCATTATTGAACAGGTGATAATTGGGGAAAGCCAGCCCACTCACATCTGGAATATAAATGATTGCAACACCACATTATACAGGCAGCAATAATTAGAAATGACTCCTTATATCCCTAATCAATTCTCAATTTACTTTTTCTTGTTTTCTTTTATTATTTATTCATTACTCTAGAAAAAGCACAAATATCTTTTATTCCAATCAGTTACGTAAAAAAGCAAACATACTTTAGAACCAGGTGCTATTCTCGCATTAGCTCACCTGCTCCAGAAGGCGAGTCTGCTCGTTTAACCTGGCCTCCATTTTAGAGATGACCTCTTGCAGTCGCCCTCGCTCATCTTCCATATCTCTCTGCTGCCGGGCCAGACGGTCTTGTAAAACTTTCAGGTGGAAATTGAGAGGGGAAGGGGGAATTACCATATATATTTTAAAATCTAGACCAAGAGCTCCAAACGAGTGATAGGCCAGTGGCTTCTGAGAGTTCAGTCTCACTGAGACATTTCATTTGTTTCTTGGGGTGGGGTATGTGGTGGTAGGTCTCTTGGGGATAACACAGCTCCTAATCTCCCATCCTTGCCTACCTGTGATATATACAGATAAATATGTGGCAATATGACAGCAAGTCATATTAGAAAAAAAAAACCAAAACAAACTCAAAGTGCCTAAAAGCATGAGAAAGACCAGGACACCTCTGTGCCCCATTGTACCTCTTAGCTGTTCATCCCGCTGGCGTGCCCCAATCTCAAGTCCTTGGTGCGTGGTGTGGTGAGTGGCCTCTACTTTGTTTGCAAGATCATTCAGGTTGCTTGAAAACTTTTCCATCTGGTCAATGATGCCATTCAAAGACCTGCAGAGAGCAAGAGGAGCTTCATGTTGGTCCACAGGTTGCACCCATTTGTGTCTCAAACTTTTGTTTACCATGCACACTATCTAAGAGTATGAAACAGAAGACAATTAAGTTGTAGTAAGGATATTAGCTGAATCCTTCTAGATACAAATTCACCAAGAATTGGCTTTACCAGGGGCTTTCCCCACTAGATGACAGTTTTTAAAGGTCTGCATCATTCCTGCCTATTAGAGGGAGCAGCATCCTAACTCTGGATATTCAGCCTTTCACTGTTAGGACATTAGACACAATAATTAATTTCCCCCAATTGTACTCTTAATTTTCATTAGTGCTGACTCTTCTTCTTTTTGCTTCCTTGGAATCACAAATGAACAGCAGAGATTACCTGGTGTAGGAGGTAGCACTGGTCACTGCGTCGATCTCCTGAGACTTCAGCCGTTTCAGTCGTTGTAGTTGTTCTTCGTGGTCTTTGCGCATTTCCAGAATGGATATCCTAACCACCAAAAAGAGGTGGGGTGGGGAATATATCTATACTTAGGGACTTGAATAAAAAGAGCACATTCCTTGACTAACACACACATGCCCACGCCCATTTTAACTGCCTACCGCTGAAGCTCCTGAAGTCGATTGAGCTCCTTGGCCTTCTCTTGCTCTAGCTCTGTGAGTCGGCGCTGGTGCTGGGCTAGAAGCTCTGATTTGGTCTGCTCTGCATTCTGGCACTGAGACAAATACTGCTGTGTCAACTCTTGGTTCTCTTGCTGGAGGCGCTCCTCACGTTGGTGGTATGAGTCCTCAATCACTTTCACACGGTTCCTACCCCCCAACAAAGGCCCAAACAGTTCCTTAATGGCTTAGACTTTGCAAATAGGGCTCACTGGGTCCTCCTTTCTGCCCTTTTTTTGATCATTATCTATGAACATGTGTTTGGGTGCCTGCAGTCAATAGGATTTAAGAGTGCATTTCTGGTCTACTCTACTTCCAAGTCTTCACATGGCTTCCAATCCAATCTCTTTTCTGTACAGATATTTCTACAAACCTCTATCACATTCCCTCCTACTTCACCTTTTAATATTCCTAAAGGTCCAAACAGAGAACCAGTGTGATGTATTGGTTTGAATTCTGGAATATGACTCTGGAGAACAGGGTTTGATTCCCTGCTCAACCATCAATATCCACTGGGTGACCTTGTGCATGTAATGTACTCTCAGCCCAAGAAACCCTGTGTTGCTGTAAGCTGAAATGACTTGGTGGCACACAACAACAACAGATTCAAACATATTTTTGTTCTTAGCAGCCTTCCAAGTCAACTTTGACTTATGGTGAGTATGAATGAGAGACTTTGAAGTCACCCTGTCACCAACAGCCTTGGTTAGACTTGAGGCCATGGTTTCTCTGATAAGAGTCTATCCATCTAGAATGTGGTCTTTCTCTTTTATCATTGCCCTCTGTTTTAACAAGCTCGATTGGAGTGAACAAGAGAGAGGACCTTCCTTCTCGGTGGCTGCCCCTCCACTCTGGAACTCTCTGCCCAGGGAAGTCAGAAGGGCCCCCTCCCTGTTGCCCTTCTGGCAGCAGGCTAAAACTTTTTTTATTCAGACAGGCTTTTAAAATGAAGGTGTTTAAGATCCAGTTAGGGGCTGCTGTGGTTTTTAACTTTGAATTTGTTTTAATGGATTTTAACTGTGATTTTTAAAAATACTGCTTATATTTAATTGTTTTAATGTTTACATACTTTTATATTTTAAATTGTATGCTAATGCTTTTATGTCAAGCTGCTTTGAATCTCCTTCGGGAGAGATAAAGCAACATATAAATATAATAATAATAATAATAATAATAATAATAATAATAATAATGAGTTGTTGTAGGTTTTTCAGGCTACATGGCCATGTTCTAGAAGCATTTTCTCCTAACATTTTGCCTTCATCTATGGCAGGCATCCTCAGAGGTTATGAGGTCTGGATCCAGGTGAAACGTCAGGAGAGAATGCTTCTAGAACATGGCCATATAGCTCAAAAAACCTACAACAACCCATTATTATTATTATTATTATTATTATTATTATTATTATTATTATATTTATACATTGCTTTATCTCTCCCGAAGGAGACTCAAAGCAGCTTGACATAAAAGCATTAGCATACAATTTAAAATATACAAGTATGTAAACATTAAAACAATTACATATAAGCAGTATTTTAAAAAATCACAGTTAAAATCCATTAAAACAAATTCAAAGTGCGATGGCCTGAGGTACGGCGGGGAAGGCCTGCTTCCCTGGCCTGCTGCTGCCTGCATGGCTCTGGAGGCTGTGCGGAGGCCAGGGAGGCAGGCAGGTACCCTTGGGATGGGCCAGGAGGCAGGTAAGGAGGCACAGGTAAGAAAATAATATATAAAATATATAAAATATAGTATAAATATTAAAATTAATATGGTGTCCCTACTTCATGGATTTTCACTTATTGCGGGTGGTCCTGGAATGGAACCCCCGCGATAAGTGAGGGAACACTGTAGTCAAAGAGATTATGCTGCTGGTATAGTCTGAGGGACTAGTATCCACAGAAGTCCTTAGGGATAATGACTAAGTTTCCCATACTACTTGCAATATATGTATATTTCTAAAGGTACAATGTAAATAGCATATTCCCTCATAACCACAATTACCTGTGAGCTTTCTCAATGAGTTCCAAGTCCTCTTGATGACGTTGCTGAAGACTCTCCAATAACAGTTTCTGCTGACTCTTCTCCAGCTCCAGACGCCTTACCTTAAGGTATTTTTAAAACTTTGTTTTGGAAATGTTTCTTTTCAAAATGTCAAAAATCAGCTGTGACACAGTATGCACAAGGACATTAAAATGATGCTAGAGATGATGGTTCTTCTAAGCCAGGCTAAATGTCCACTTGGCTTTGATGCAGGAATGCTCAAATATTATAGGAAGAACACTTTTTTAAAATGTGCTTCAGCAGTTAAGACAACTGGGAAGTAGCTATTATAAACAATTAGTTAATCAATCTCTTCTTGTAATAACTGAAACATACAGAAGACACAGGAACCTGCCTTATACTAAAGCTGACTCCTGGTTCTCCTGGTCCTTTGGTCAGCAGGGATGGCTCTCCAGGGTTTCAGGCAGAGTTATTTCCTGGCTCTGCTATGGATAATCCACTCAATTCCTCCCACTCTCCACCCCAGAATCCTCATAGTTTACAGAGTGGGGTTTTTGTTTGTTTGTTGCTGTTCTTTTTAGGGGGTGAGAAGGTCCCCTAAAGATGGTTTGCACTTTGCTAACACTACTCTCTTGCTAACACTTCTCTCTTGTGTGTAGGTCTTCTTTAAGCTATAGTAGTGGTTCTCAAACTGTGGTTCCCCAGATGCTTTGGCCTTCAACTCCCAGAAATCCAAACAGCTGGTAAACTGGCTGGGATTTATGGGAGTTTCAGGCCACAACACCTGGGGACCCACAGGTTGAGAACCACTAAGCTAGAGAGTAATGTTCAGTTTCAGCAGAGGGGATAAAGCTTTCATAAAGAGAATCTTTTTGATCTCAGTCACAGGTGTGATGAACTTACCTGGCCTTCTAGCTCAGTGAGGCGAGTCTGTGCGTTCAGCAGTTCTGCCTGATAGCCTGCCAGGCTCTCTCGCAGCTGCAACTGCACACCTGCTAGCCTTTTTTCATACTCATTGGTATTTGGGGAGCTCAGTGAATGGGGCTCTGAGTGTAGCAGCTGAAAAAGGGTAGGGTAGGGACAGAAATGAAAGACATTTTTAGCTTGGAGAGCAATTTTTGAGAAAGTTCAAAAATGAGTTCACAAGTGAAGGGATATGTGCTTTGTAATCCTCAGACGTGTGGTGGTCTGTGGTTGAGAGAACAGCGAAAAGACACTGCAAAATGGAAAATAAAGTATAACAAATACCTTTATGATTTAACTGGCATATGTGACAAAATTCAAAGACAGCTCTTGTCACCAATTGTGAAAAGACCCAAGACCTAATGTATTGCACTTTATTGTGGTATTTGTGTTGTTTGCCACCCTGCCTATACAAATACAGTGGGAAAACAAAACTGGTTGCTGGTTCCAAGTTCATGTTGTAGAAATGCACAAGTATGAGAAAAAAAATGTATTTCCTTTTGGCAAACCCTGAACTTACAAAGAACAGTATAGAATTTCAATGCTTCATGTTATATTCCAGACAACAACAACATCTTGGATGTAAGGACAGCTCAATGTAGATATTTCAGATCAAGAGATTTGCACGCAATGGATGCTGAACTACATACTAATATCTGGGATACCTTCCAAATGTTATGAGTACATGCAAATTGAGAAGCCTCATTTATATCCTAAAAACAGAAATAAGGGAAGATCAGGCACAAACAGTATTCCAGAGTCCTTTGCATAGTTCATGGCTGCTCCAGAATCAAGATCCAGTAATTAGAGGGCTATGTAGTTTTCTGGATTAACATTTCTTTTTAAATCCATGCACAATGAGAAGAGTTCCGTTAATAGAGCAGGGGCTCTCAAACCTTTTCAGCTGCAGAGCCCTTTCTGAAACAAAAGTTTCTTGTGGAGTCTTGTGAAGAAATGTTTATATATTATGTATTACTTTATATATAATGTATATATATCAGACATGGGCAAAAATTTTCATGCATTTTTTTAAAAAAAATTTGACAGACAGGCGGGTCAGTGACAGATGGATAGTGTTGGTGTGAGCTTATTGAAAAAAACATGAATAAATTCCAATGCACACTGCACATATCTCATTTGTAGTGCAAAAAAAAAAGAAAGAAAGAAAGAAAGAAAGAAAGAAAGAAAAAAGGAAGAACAAAACAATTATTTAAACTGAAGAACAATGTTCATCAACATAAACCTAACAGTATTTCAGTGGAATACCCCAAGGGCCATCCAGTTCAACTCCCTTCTGCCATGAAGGAAAAACACAATCAAAGCGCCCCCAAGTAGTGAGACGGAAAAGGGGTTTTGGAAGTAAGGAAGGCGAGGGGGAAGGCATCTGGGTGGCAAGGGAAGGGGAAGGAGCAGGAAAGAGGAAGGAAAACTTGGAGAAGGAGGAAGAAACTGCGGAGCCTCTCAGTATGCTTTGTGGAGCCAAAGGTCTTTGTGGAGCACACTTTGAGAACCACTGCTCTAGAGACATATATGTGCATGTTAAAAATACTCATATATTCCTCCCTTTTACCTTCCTTGAATCTTTAACATATCATTTTCCCACAATACCTGAGAGTGCATAGGAATCCTAAAGGCCTCTTGTTGTTCTTGCAAAAATGCTGCAGGTGCTAGAATGCAATAAATGTAGGTATCAGAGATAGCCAGTGATTTATGAGTTTACAGAAAAGAATGAGTAGCAGGTCTCCTTTCTGAATTTGTATTGATCTCTACAGTGAAGAGGAGGCACAAACTGCTCATGACAAATATACAGAGAGAAGTACCATACTAATTTTCCAGCTATAGAAGATTCTGCTACAATTCAAGGTGTATAGCAGAACCTTTAAGGAAAATGGGCTAGAAAGCAAAGAGATGTGGACATCGCCAGGAATGGAAATAAGCTGTTTTCCTATTTGGAACAGAATCCAGCAGTCTTCAACCATTTGGTGCCCAAGTTTTAAATGTTTCTGCTATTTGCGGTTTTAGTGAAAACAATTTATACAATTTTGTTGTTTACTTATACAAGTAAACACTGTTTCCCAAAAGTTACTGAAGTAATCAGTGACGGAACCACTTTGGAAATGGACCTTGAATCTCACCTGTAGCATTGGAGTCTCCAAAGGGAGTCCCTTTCCTGAGATTGGATGGAAAAGCAGGAGTCATTTGTTCTTGAGATTTTAACCAAGATGTGGAAGTCCTTCAAAGAAGAGATATTCGTAGTTAGTGAAGCATTCAACTGAGAAATGCATATTCTGGTATAAATATAAACCTGCAATCTGGTTAAAAATATTATGTCAAGGCATAACAAATAACTTTTAGGCAATAACCCTTTGGTTTCAGGCATGAGAGCACCATGGTGCCATAGAATAGAGCACATCTTCCTCTCCACCAAAGAAGAAAAAAGCCTGTGGGCTGGAAAACTATCTGTCACAAGATCAAGCCTGGCTAAAAACAGGTGCAAAGTGTGGTACTTCTGAAACACACTGAGAAAGGAACAGCATCTTCCAGTGTAGAGGCACTACTACGCAACACATACAGTCCCACCCTTCAACATCTTCTGACCACCTACCAGCATCTGCTGCCTGAGGCTTCTGCTTTGCTTAGTTGAATGAATGGGAAACCCTGAGGGAGTCTTGCTGGATCAAATCAACTATGGAGTTTAGCATCCGGGTTTTTTTTAAATCATGTTTAACCAGTTGCCTATGGAAAGCACAGAAACAAGTTCTTACCTAGTTTCTTCTAGTCTGGTAGGTCTGTCCATGGGAGAAACAGATGGCTGATATCTCTGGGCGGATGGAGTTTGCTGACTGATTAAAAAAACAAACAAAAAGAAAATGTATTAATTTTATTTATAATATTTATATATTTAGAAGCTACATGAAATGCTTTTAAGATGTATACAACCAGATTTCAATCTGCAAGCATTATAATGTTCAAGTAAAACTATTGTCAGAAAGTCCAAAATATTTAGCTTCGTATCAGCCCACAAGGTTTTTCTCAAGGTACAGTCAATGTGTGATACCCTAACAGGATTATTCTTTGAATGTATTACCATTTGGGTGCTAGCAAGCAATCCACAAGCAGTTCCCTAATTATGAACAAGATAGGTTCTGTAGGTTTGTTCTTAAGTTGAATTTGTTTGTAAGTCAGAACAGGTACATTTTTAAGTGTAACTCCAGACACACACACACACACACAACACCCACATGCATGCTTTGGATAGCATAAGAAAGGGTTAACACCTTCCCTATGCTATCCATGTTTCTTCTGCTGTCTGGGCCCCTGTTCAGAAGATCTCATCTCACTTTCTGTCCCTGTGTGAATTGGGTTTTTAAAAATTTGGCTTGTTTTGAAACAAGAATTGGTGATAAAGCTTCAGTGGAGACACCTTTTCCCCATGATAACTCTTCCAGGAGTGAATTTCACTTCCTAGGGGTTGATTACTCTTAATTCCTGTTGTCTCACCCCAGTTCTTAACAAAGAGTTGTTTGTAAGTAAGATACCTGTAACTCAGGGACTGCGTCTGCATATTAATATATGCAATACATTTATAACACAAAAAATATTCAGCAAATCACAACAGGAGTAACTGCCACTCACAGAACATAAAAAGTCAAGTGCCAAAATGGATCTTACATGGTAAGAGCAATGGGATTCTCCTCCTCTCCATGTATCTGAGATTCAGAGGGTCTTGGTTTCTTTTCCTTCACTTTCTCCTGCATGCGGGATTTCTTTTGAGTTAAGACATTGCTCAGCCAGCTGTCAGCGTCATCTTCAACGGGCTCAGGCTTCAGTGTTGCTGCTTCAGGAGCTGGTTTGGTTCGGGAAAGGAGCTGATTGGAGGGAGGTGGATGCTGAATCTCAGAAGACCCAGGCGGCACATCCATTGAGGATGCTCTTACGATGCTCTTACTAGATTCCTTTGCTGGTGAGGGTGGAGGCAAGTCAAAATCTTCATCTTTCAGCCCCAACCAGTCACCACCACTCTTGCTGTGTACTGGGCTGCCAGATGCCGGGGTGGAAGGTTTGGATCTTTGGTCTGTTTTTAGCTCACTGAGGTTCTCTGAGGAAAACCTACAACAGGAAACAGAGAGAGGTAGTAAAATTATAGAGGCAGCCTTGTGGGAGAAAATGTCATGTTTTGTGGCTAGCGTGTCTATTATTACCTGACAGATTGCCGCCTTGACTGCCGTCCTTCTGGAGCAGATGCCACAGTTGGTTGGTAGGCTCCAAAAGTGAACTCATCTCCCAAAATGGCTTCCTTATCTGTATATGGGCAACACCACTGAGTTCTCAAGCTATTGAAATGTACAGCCTAGTCTAACCTTGCTTTAGAACACAAGTGAAGAATTTGGGGTTTTGCCCTGGGCACAATGTGTTTTAAATCCTGCCAAATTTAATCTCTGTGTTTTATTATGATTAGTTAGTTGCGATGTTTTCTGATTTTGTCGTTATGTATTCTCTTTTAATATTTATTTGTTGTAAGCCGCCTCGAGTCCTTTTGGAGAGGGGGCGAGATATATAAATAAAGTTTATCGTCATCATCAATAACATCATCATTATTATTAACGTACTACTTCTCCTACCATCCTTGATAACTGGACATGTTGGACGGATCTCATGGGAACAGGAAATTCCCACATGATCTGTAAGGCCATTGATTTCTCATTCCTCTAAAGCAAATTCAGAAAAAGGGAGCAAGTGTGAAAAATAGACCTAATAATAAAATATCATCTGGGATAATATAAGTATTTTTCTTTTAAAAATAGTTAAAAAGAAAAGAAATAAAGTCGATAAGGATTGAGCCTGGGATCTTTCTGTTAGAATGTCTCTGAGGATTCAAAGCAAGGACAAAATAGGGTTCCTGAGTGAATAGGGGAAACAAGGAGGGATCAATTGCCACTCTGTAGTACTTGCCTGTTTGCTTTTGGTATTTCTTATCCAGTTTGAACTCCTTTTGTTCTCCTGTGCTGGGTCTCTCCGGGAGTTTCTTTGCAGTTCCTTGTCCCAGCAGTTCATCTAGCATGGATCGAGCTGGGCGAGGCTCCTTTCTGCCAACGAGGAATTCAATCTTTATCAAGAACTTAATTCACTGGTTGGTAGATGGGCCAAACAAGGCTTGCATCCATGGCTCTATGTTGCACTAAGACACATCAACTCAAGCAAGTAAAACTGCAGCCAAATTTACTCCAGCCATGTATATACTGTGTTATTATTCCTGTCATAGTTGTGGCCTTGTCATTACTAAGTTGCAATGTTAAACACTTTCTTTTAGCTTTCTACTCCTAACATGAACATAGAGGAATCACTCCAATCCCTTCATCATTTTGGTTTCCTCTTTCAGAACTTTCACCAGCTTTTCCATGTCTTGTTTGTGAAATAGTGACCAGAATTGTACACAGGACTGTGCATGAGTTGCACCATATGCACAGTGTTCAACAAAAAAGTTATGTGTTCTTTAACAACTAATGATATCCACCCCACCCCTGCTGTAGACATCCTCTAGGTGTCTACAGCAGCCTGCAAGAACCCAACTGGCAACTGTAACCCCAAGTACCTTTTCATCAGCTGCCCAAGAGTGTGGAACAAACTGCTGGAAGAGATTTGGATTTGGAATTTAAGATACAGTAATTTTACTTTTATATTAAGATGTTTTTAATTCCATGTTTTAGTTGTTTAAATGTCTGTTTATTTTCTATGTTTAATATGATTTTAATGGTTTAATTTATAGTTATATGTTACCGTTTTAGTTATTACGCTTTGGTTTTGTATATATGTTGGCATTGAATCTTGCCATTACTTGATGTACACCACTTTGAGCCCCCCCCCCCCCCGGGGCGAGAAAAGCAGTATATAAATGAAGTCAATAAATAATAATAATAATAATAATAAATAATTGAAGACCCATCTCTTTTGGTAGGCCTTCCCAGTCAATTTTAAGTGCTGAATTGTAATCTGCACATCATCAGTGGATTTTAACTTTTATTTTAACTCTGGGTATCTTGTTGTATATCTTTTAATAGTGTTTTATCTCTTGTTTCAATGATGTTGCACCGGACCTCAAGCTGCAGGGAGAGGCAGGTAATAAATTCTTCATCATCATCATCATCATCATCATATTATAATAATAGTTATGGTGTAATCCAAACTACAGCATGAATTGCTACTCTTAGTTTACCTCATCCCAAATATGAAGGATTTCTACTTCAAGTAATGCCATTATCCCCCTTCAACGTCACTCACTGCCTTTTTAGTAAAACATAGTTGCTTACTCTGCACTCTTTCTGCCTGATTTCAGTTCTGCCTTTGGGTGGTCACCAAACCCCAGGGCATTCATGAGATCGTCCTCATCATCTTCAAATGTTAATTCATCTCTTTTCCGCTCAGGGGCAACAGCGTGGGAAAGAGCTGTAGATAAACCTGATAAATGACATGGAACAGTCTGATTCTACAGTCATAGTAAAAAAAAAACATGAACTAGAAAATTCCTAGAGAGGTCATTTTTTCTTGCATGCAACTAAGTAAAAGTATGAGTACAGGTCCTGTGCATACAGGAGCCATACTGTATTTATCCCACAGAAGCCAAATTAGTCTGAAAGATATACCAACAGTACCTTTTTCTTTAACAGTTCCAGTATTCTTTTCTGGAGCATTTTTAGTGGCAGAGGATTGTGCTTTCTTCAGTATGCCCTCTTCTTCGTCAGACAAAAGTCCAGCCAAGGGGTCATCCATATCTGAGGAAAAAAGACATACACTTAGAAAGAAATGGTCACTAGGAACATGAATAATCATTTTCAAGGAAAGAACTCATGTCATAAATCTTTAAAGTGCTACAGGACTGGAGGGTGAAAAACAAAGTATTTGCTAATAAGTTGATGGACTGCATCACTATTCTTACTTAGTTACTGAAGAAATAACAGGAGTTCAAGCAAAAGTTAAAATGCAATTATACTAAACATACATTAAAAACCGTGTTAATTTTGTAAGGAACTACTCAGCCCCACCACTAAAAGCTTTATGTGTCACAAACACCAAAAATGAAAACATCCCTTAAACAGATCTTCATCTGCCAGCAGAAAGATAGCACAGAGGAGGCCAACTGGACCTTCTGGTAAAAGGAGTTTTATACCTTGGGAGCAACTATTGAGAAGACTGTATCTCATGTTCTCACCAAAAGAGCCTGGGATGGTGGTAGGACTCAGAGAAAGCCCTCACATGCAAATCTTATAGCATAGGAGGAATATGTCCCCCCCCCCCCAAATTGTCTGGAACCAAGCCTTGGAGAGCTTTAAATGTTCTAGAATTAAATCTACACACATGCACACCATGTCTCATATCAGCAATAAAATATTACCTTCAAAGGATAACTTTGGTTTAAGCTGCCGGGAAGCAGTGGGAGTAGAATTTGGTTTCTGGTTTATTTCACTTGCAAAGTTTCCTGTATGGATAGATCATTAATATTTTTAAAATCATGTTCAAAGCATCTCTGCCTCAAGTCAATGTTAAAGCTGAATATTTCTGGTTAGAAATGGCTCAAGAGCATCAGGTGAAAATGGCTTTATAAAGAATTCATAGTTTGGAGATGATCCTGCAGAAGCAACATATCTCCTAAACTCAACTCAATGGTACAATTTGGCTCTTTTCTAAAGGCTGGAGAGGATCATGTCAGATTTGAGCATTCATCCTCCAAGGTTGGGGTGGGCAACTGCAGGAGGCAGATTTCTATCCCTGTGCACCCACAACAGGCCACACCACCACATTTTGGCTAAAAGGAACAACTGGTTGTGACTTCTAGCTCTTCTGGGGCACAGAAAGGTGCATTTTGGGAGAGGGCTATATTAAGCAAATTCTTGGTGACATTTTGAGGCATTTTGCCTGATAATTGTTTTGCTGAAAAAAATGTGTGTACGGGTTTTCAAAAGAGGTCAATGAGATGTGGAAATTTTGCATGGAAACATTAGTTGCAGGTCACGTGAGATCCACTGTCCCAACCACTGCTCCAAGGAGTTCAGAGCAGTTTATATTATTTCCAAGTCAATGTAGGTAATGTGAATTAGCTCTAAGTCAATAAGATGCAGCATTTAATCACAGGTATGCACCACTACAATATTGTTTGCACTGTAATGGCTGCATGCATTCAACCCCTACAACACAGCTATATAAAATTATTGACTCTGGAGTAAACAAATGGGTATGAGCCATGTCAGGACCTATATGTCCCAGTGAATGGGACATAAATCTTTCCCTGTCTTTTATCTATGGCTTGTGTTTACGTTTAAGAGAGAAGGATCCATGGCAGATCCATGAGCAGTCTTAGATGAGATTATGATTATGCTACTCCTTTGCCTCACTGAATTTTATGAGAGCTTCACATGTCCACATTTATACACAAGGTAAATAAATTACAAAAAAAAAACTATTTTAAGAGACATCTTCAAAATGCATCCAAAAACTACCACATTTTTTTCTTTCATGTAACAATCTTTTGGCAATATAATAGAGAATTGAAGCATTTCTTAATTTGGCCCCAATGACCACTACATCTTCTGACTTTTTACATATAACAGAAAATCTATTAAGAAGATGACAAAAAAGGTACTTAGTGTTTTCTAACATCCTCCATTCAATCTGGTCCCACCCAGATAAGAGACACATGAATATACTTGAGTCAAAAGGATCTTGAAATAGCATGCACTTTCATCTTAAGACATAGGATAGTCATACAAAAGGAAAGCAGCCTTGCCTTTTTCAGTGATTGTTATTTTTTTAGCAGATTTGGCTAGCTCGGAAGGCTGAGAATTTGTTACATTCTTTGCAGGTTTTTGAACAGGTTCAGAATTTGCTTTCTTTATGCCCAGAAGATCAGCTTCCATGTCATCCATATCCTGTCATGGAAAAAAAATGTTTTCTGAGCAGAATGATTTTCTCCACAAATGGCAAAGTAAAGCAAAACAATTATTTTCACATTATTAGAACTGTTTTCCATTTACCTTCAAGGTCTCCAGCAGAGCATCTGGGTCCACATCTGAGATATCGGGATCCTATAAATACATACACAAAGAAATGTTCACATACATGGTTTGTATACTGTTGGGCATTTAAAACAATCTATCAGTCTGTTACTTGATCCAAGAAAGACAGTCCTAGTACTGCCAACCTTAACATCATTGGTCTAGAGACACGCAAATACTGGGTCTCACAAAAAAAAAAAAAAAAAAAAAAGCATCAGAGGAACTGCCTAGTATGATAACTTGGTTGTACACAGCAGAATTTATGATATGTTTGTTTCCTATACATATTTTCAGCCATAATTTTAAATAGTATCAATGGAAACCACATCTATTTAATATGTAAAATATTCAGTGACTTCTACATAGTCTTACCTCTGCATTAGCCTCCTCTTCAAGAGCCATTTTGCTGAAGAAATCATCATCCAGAAGCCCCCTGAAAAACAACAAACAAAAAGCTCAGGATGCACAATCCTCCCTACCATGCCCCCTATTCCCACATGCAACATTTCACAGATTTGATGAAAACTCTTTCCAAATTACTTAGATGTTTTGACCAAATTTGGAGGATATCGAAGTTTACTTCTGTTTGAAGAAATAGCAGTAGGAACTCTACTTATGAAATAGCACTGAAACAGGAAAGCTATATATACATTGAGTATCGCTGATATGAAATGCTTGGGACTGGAAGTTAAGGTATAGTATTTATATTGACCCGTGGATAAGCTGACCAAGCAGTTTTGGGTCAATTTTTGACTAAATCTTTTAGACTTATACATGAATATATATAGTATTTAGAGTTTTCAGGTAAGGGGTATTCAACATGTATGGTTGTGGAAGAATACTAACAGGAGGAATGCTTAAACGGGTCCTAGAGCACCATTAATATTAGGCCCTGAATGTGCTACAGGCAGAATCAGCAATGTCAGGACTCACTTTTTGCTCATCTGCAAGGTGCTTCCTCTGGCACGTTCTCTACCAAATGAAGCAGATTTACCAGTTTTGAGGGGGATGTCATCTAGGAAACAGAGTTTATTTTAGTAATCAGAATGTAGGATACATTACTTGCTCATACAATTCTATTATAAAGCTTATAATTGTAGGAGTCCCCTCATGTGTGATGACAGTCACATCAAACAAAAGAGGGGCAGAACACACTATGCATAAAGGTAACCATTCAGAGGGAAACATGGGTAAGTCTGAATACTGAAGGTATTAATTACCCTGACTCCTCTAACATCAAATCAGGACTCAACACTCCATTGCTTTTCCATAAAAAAGGACACAGCAATAAAAAATATTTTGGAAAACATTTAATTCTTATTTCTCTTAAAATAGCTTGGAAAATTAAAGCCAATACTACATATTAATCTGACAGCTCATGGAATAATGAGAGCAAGAATAAAACCATATAATAAGAGTGTGTACTACGCCTGGGTAACAACGGAAAAAATTGTTTCTAAAATCGATTTGTATTTGGGGGGTTTTTTTGTTTCGATATTTAAAATAATTACAAAATGTTCCTTTTAAAAAGTTCGATATTTACGAAATTTCGTAAATGGTAAAAAATTAACGAATCGATTTCCGAAACAATAACGAATCGATTCGTTAATGGCGGACGCGACCGCGAAATACGCTAAAAAACCTCCAAAACCTTCTGAAACTTCCCTCTCCCTCTGTTGTTGACTGTTGGTGTGATATTATAATTTTTTTTCACTAATTAAACCATAAAACTGGCCCAGACATGCGGAAATAATAACGAAACGACCTCAAAACAATAACGAAACGAATACAATATCGAAATACGAAGCATTTACAAAACGTTTTTTAAAATTCGTTTTTTTTAATAATTGCTCCAGAATGGTTCGTTATCGTTTTGTAATTGAAAAATTAACGAATTATTAACGAATTACGAATTAACGAAACCGCCCAGCCCTAGTGTGTACACATAATTATAAATTGAAAGTTGAAAGTTTTGGATTTGCATGCATCTTCCTCCTTTGTGGGAGAGACGATAAGAGGAATCAATACAATTCAATTTTGTTTTATCAGATTCCTGGATTATTACATACTGATCATGGATTGTGATTTTAAAAGAAAGTAACTAGTTGCTTAGAAGGCCAATAACAAACACTAAGTTATTTTAAACCACAATTCCAAATTTCCATGTGAGTATATGCCAGAAATCTGTGAACGTGTAACTGATTTCAATAGGCTGCTTTCTGCACACGTATGTCAAGAAAAGTTATGCATTAGCATTCAGTGTGAATACAGCAAGTGTTATAAGTCTGGGTGAACAGCATGATTTTACCTCACACCTAAAATAATAACATGTCCATCATGAACCTTTTGGTAGTGCAGGAAATTGCCCAACTGGAGCATAATGTGGTAAAAGACTCATATTTTTAATAGCCATCTGCCCAAACTCTGATGTTTGTGGGAGAATGCAGAAAAAGAAGAGCCCTGCTTGAAGATATTGACTGAAAGGCAAGTTCCAATAAGATTTTTAGAATCTTTGCAATTTACCATCATCTCCAAGGAGATCACCAAGAACATCATCAATGGAACCTATAAGACACAATGAGTTTACAGCTGTTAAAAGACTGCATATATTTAAGATAGACGACTACAAGAATGAGAGAGAGAGAGTTACGGCTGTCATAATGGCAAGAGTTTCAGGGCCTGGGAGGGCAGAATTGGACTGTGTTATCTACTAGGTCAACCTATGAAACATCGTCGAATGTGTAAATATAAGCACACTTACTTTTTAGTCCTTTCCTCGATTTTGCTGCCTAAAGGAAGAAAAGAACAGATACTTTATTAAATAAGATAAAAGCAGTCATAACCTGCATAAAAGCCTGCCTAACCTGCATCGGAGGAAACACAAAAAAATTCAGGTACTAAGAGGTGGTAGCCAGCCAGAGGGTTTCCCTTCTATTATAGGACTTGCGTCAAATGCTTGCTAACTTCAAGGTTATTGGAATACATTAGAAATAATTTAAACTTCAGAATATATGCACATAATATGAATATCAATAAACTTTTGTAAAATAAATGGACTAATTACACTATATAACATGATCTTTGTTCCTGGGTTATAAATATCATTTCCAATTGGTTCTATTATAAAAAAAATATGGAAAAAGTTTATTAAACTGCAAAAACTTTGTTCTTGTGAGACATCCCGCAGCACATTTTGCTGAACATTTTCAATGAAACTCATAGATGACTTTTTCACACAACTCTTTTGGACTGTGTCGTAGCACCATGAAAGGGATGGTGTGCAGGTCATCCCGTGGTGCCCTGTGCATCTCCTTCCTCTCCTCATCACACAGTGGAGGCAGAACAGGGTGTGCTGGCACCCTTTCCCTCCCCTCAGCAGATGACAGAAAGAGCAGAAGGTGCAGCAATGCAACATTGCCCTGCCACCCTATCTGTCATCACACGGCAAAAAGGGGAGGAGAAAGCATCTTTCAGCAAAAAGGGGAAGAATGTGGGAAGGGCCTGCTATTTGTTGTGTGATGGCACGCCCCATCTACGCTGCACATAAAAGCGGCAAAACGGGGCAAAAATGCCTTGTGTGAAGAGGTCCAGAGTCTCAACCAATTCAACACAGTTTGTGGCAGCCACAAAAACAAAGTTTCTGGAGTACAACTATTACTTGCAAAGTAAGACTGCACAATTAAACAGGAAATAATAATTTCAAACCAGAAACAGATTCTTTTTTCAATTTTGTGAGATAGTTATACTTTCATTACCATACTATAGCATCCAGTTGAAAAGACTGTATCCTTCTTTGTTTTGTACTTTCTTCTTCAGACATTTTTCATCTTTATACCTGTATTGGTGAGTCCAGCCCCGTATACATTAAATTCAGTCTTCCTCGCCTAAAACAGTGAATTGTAAAATAATATTGGTAATTTATTTTCATTTTCCCTTCTAAGCTGATAAAACAGGAAACAGATTTTGTTGACATAAAAAAGCATCTCAGAGCAGCCTTTTAGTTTTACAACAATCCTATAAAGAAGATTTAAAATTAAGATGTGTATTGCCCGGTGCTATTCAACTTCATGCAGTTTGAACAAAACGGTGTCTCTCAAGCAATCTGATGTGAAGGACTTCCAGTTTGCTTGTCCAATGGGACTGGGACACCATATTTGTACGCACTGGGTACAAATCCCACCCCCACCTTAGGAACCTTATAGAAACTCATTGATAATTACTGGCCAGAAACTATCACTTCCAACAGCAATTAATTGTGTTTTCCTGCATGATAGATGGACTACATGACCCAAGTGGCTTTTTCCAGCTCTATTATTATATGATCCTATCTATTGAAAGCATTTTATTCTCATTTTTAGCCCCAAAGGTTTCTAGACCACTTTAAGACAATTCTTCCTTTAGGCTTGCAAACTAGGTAAGAGAAGCATTACTCTGGTCATGCCAGTAAATGAAGGGTGCATCATAAAGAATTAACGCAGTTTGACGCCACTTTAACTGCCATGGCTGAATGCTATGGAACCCTGCGAGTTGTAGTTTGGTTAGGCACTAGCACTATTCAGTAGAGAAGGCTAAAGACCTTGTCAACCTTGACTCCCATGAGTCCACAGCATTGAGCCATGGCAATTTAAGTGGTGTCATACTGCATTAAATCTACAGAGTAGGTGTACCTGAACTCTCTGTAATAAAAATGACTGGCATCAAACCAACACCATGAATGTGTACCAAAGCCTGATCCTTCCCACCGGCCCACCAAATGAAATGACAAAGTACTCTTAATTCATCACAAAACTTTCTGCCTTGGAATGAGGTTAAGCTCCTTCCTTGGAAATTTTTAAACAGAGGCTGGATAGACATCTGATGGGGGTGCTTTGATTGAACTGGATGGCCCATGTGGTCTCTTGCAACTCTATGATTCTATAAGTGGTGAGCAGTGACCGGCCACACTCAACTCCAGTCTGGGCATAGTGTGTGCGCATATGGCCCCTTCCCATTTGGGCTGTGTTATTTGAGTAAGGGAGCCCCCGGTGGCACAGTGGGTTAAACCGCTGAGCTGCTGAACTTGCTGACCAAAAGGTCACAGGTTTGAATCTAGGGAGTGGCATGAGCTCCTGTTGTTAGGCCCAGCTTCTGCCAGCTTAGCAGCTCAAAAACATGCAAATGTGAATCGATCAACAGGTACTGCTCCGGTGGGAAAGTAACCGTGCTCCCGGCTGTCATGCTGGCCACATGACCTTAGAGGTGTCTACGGACAATGGCAGCTCTTCGGCTTAGAAATGGAGATGAACACAACCCCAAGTCGGACACGACTGGACTTAACGTCAGGGGAAAACCTTTACCTTTACCTATTTGAGTAACTTACTCTTACTACTACACTGCTGGACGAATGCGGCTTGACCCTACTTTCCCTACCATGACTCAATGCCATGGAGCCCTGGGAGTTATGGTTTTACAAGCCCTTTGCCCTTCCTTTCCAGGCAGTACCGGGGCCTGCCCAAACTACAACTCCCAGGAGTCCATACCACGGAGCCATAGCGGTTAAAGTGGCGTCCAGCTGCATTCACTCAGCAGTGTGGCTGCAGCTCTGCGGAGGAGGAAGCCTGGACGCTTGCCTCCACACGAAATAGCCTCACAACTCCAGTTGCCATAGTAGCCAGGCCCCCATTACTTGCACTGCCCAGCAGAGAGAGAGAGAATAAACTCCCCTTCGACCCTAAAGGAAACAGCTCCCCTTCCTCTGGCGAGAACCCTCCCGCCTTTCCTGGCCCCGCCGCAGCCGGGAGAGCGCGCCTCACCCGAGCGGATACCACCAGCCAGCGCTGGAGGGGGAGAGATTCGGGGCGCCCGCTTGGCCCCAGAGCATCTTGGGAAATGGAGTTCCTACGTCGGCCACTGTGAGGCCGCCGCATACTTACTTTCTGTGGACAGAACCTAAACCGGAAGCAGCGCGTGGCCTTCCCCCGGAAGTGTGCCCCTTATTAGAGCGTTCCTCTTGCAGAACGGTAAACTGGGCTGTCAGCAAGATTGTTCCGGGACCAATGCGACTTCAGTAGTGAGTTGGAAGTGCTGTTAAAAAGGAAGATGTTTCATAAAATAGAAGCAAGCTCCTGGGTGCGTCTACACTGTAGAATGAGTGCCACGTTATCTGCCATGGCTCAATGCTACGGAGTTCCACACTGGGCATGCATACTCAGCAGCAGAGTATCACAGCGCAAGGGCAGATGTCTTCACTGTATCTGGTTGTGATCCCCAGGTTGTGCCAGTCAGCTTTCGTATGATATTGTTTCTAGCACCCACTTTTTGCTTGATGACTGTGCTACTCTGCTGCTGAGTATGCATGCCCAGTGTGGAACACATCTCACCACACTAAAACAGTGGATGTGGCTCTTAATGAGACATGCCGCATTATCACGGGGTGTCTGCGCCCTACACCACTGGAGAAATTACACTGTTCAGCTGGTATTGCACCACCTGACATCCGCCGGGAAGTAGCAGCCAATAGTGAAAGGACCAAGGCAGAGACATCTCCAGCTCATCCCCTGTTTGGGTATCAGCCAGCACGTCAACGACTTAAATCTAGAAATAGTTTTCTAAGATCTACAGAGACACTCGCTGGAACACCTCAGCAAGCGAGAGTCCAAAAGTGGCAGGCTCAAACCCAGAACCTCAACCAATGGCTGATACCAAATGAGAGACTCCCCCCTGGGCACACAGAACACTGGGCGACTTGGAAGGCAACAGACTGCGCTCTGGCACCACAAGATGCAGAGCCAACCTTCAGAAATGGGGCTACAAAGTGGAATCCTCAACATGCGAGTGTGGAGAAGAGCAAACCACTGACCACCTGCTGCAATGCAACCTGAGCCCTGCCACATGCACAATGGAGGACCTTCTTGCAGCAACACCAGAAGCACTCCAAGTGGCCAGCTACTGGTCAAAGGACATTTAACCAACTACCAAACTCACAAGTTTTGTATTTGTCTGTTTGTTTTGTTCTGTTAGAAATGTAATATAATGGACTTGTTGCTCTGACATGACAAATAAAATAAATGCTATGGAGTTGTAGTTTGGTGATCTGGTTTGATCTTCTTGCTGTCCAAGGCACTCTCAGAATTTTCCTCCAGCACCACAGTTCAAAAGCGTCTCTCTTCTCTCTCCACTATTTTGAGTTTGGTTATTGCTCTCCTCCCAAGAAGCAAATGTCTTCTGATTTCCAGGCTGCAGTCTGCGTCTGCAGTAGTCATTGTGCCCAGAAATACAAAGATTCTCATTGCCTCCACCTTTTCTTCTCCCTCTATTTGCCAGTTATCAATCAGTCTGGTTGCCATAATCATGGTTTTTTCATGTTTAGCTGCAACCCAGCTTTTACACTTTCTTCTTTCACCTTGACTAGAAGGCTCCTTAGCGCCTTCTCACGTTCAGCCATTAATTATTATTATTAACTTTATTTGTACCCCGCTAACATCTCCCGAAGGACTCGATGCGGCTTACAAAGGCCAAGGCCTCAATAAAACAACAATACAACAATACACATAAACCATAAAGCAAATCAAAACATTAAAGCAATAACAGTAAACAGTAAAAACAGTACACCATAGCACAATAAAACTAAGGCCGGGCCAAGTGTAAATGAGTACAGATTAAAAGTGCTGAGTATGAGAGTTGAAATATAAGGATTTTTGGGTAAGTACAATGTGCGGACAATCTTAAGTCTCTAGTAAAGTGCTTCTGGGACATATTGCTGGGGTTTCCTATTCTGGAAAGGCACACCAGAATAGCGAAGTCTTCAAGCGCTTCCTAAAGACTGCCAACGTAGGGGCCTGTCTGATGTCCTTGGGGAGGGCGTTCCAGAGTCGGGGGGCTACCACAGAGAAGGCCCTGTCCCTCGTCCCCACCAACCACGCTTGCGACGCAGGTGGAATCGTGAGCAGGGCCTCTCCAGATGAATGAAGGGAGTGTGCGGGTTCATAAACGGAGATGCGGTCATGCAGGTAGGCAGGCATTATCATTAAAGTGGCATCATCTGAATATCTAAGGTTGTTAATGGTTCGTTCAGCAATTTTAACTCCAGCCTTGGATTCGTAAAGCCTTGCATGTTGCATGATGTGTTCTGCATACAAATTGAATATGTTGGGTAAGAGTGAGTATACAACCCTGCTGTATACCTTTCCCAATCTTGAACCAGTCTGTTCTGTGCTCTGTGCTTACTGTTGCTACTTGGTCGTTATACAGATTCCTCAGGAGACAGACAAGGTGAATTGGTATTCCCATACCACTAAAACTTGCCACAATTTATTATGATCCACAAAGCCTTTAGAATAGTCAATAAAACAAACTTACAGCTTATCGGCTTACAGCAGGTAAAAAGATGCATAATAAAAGTTAAAGCATTTAAAACCAAATATTAGTAGTTGCTGTCGCACGCTCTAATACATACATTAAACTATAATAAAACTTTAAAACCACTCTAAATACATCATGCAGTCCAGGAATGAATAAATTTTATTACTAAGACCACAGACCAGGAGAGTAAAACTCTACACCATTACAATAMGAAGTTTTAAAACTAAAACATTAAAACCAGAAATTCAAAGCATTAAAAGGAGAAAGTCCAGGATAGGTGTCTAGTTTGTATGGAAATATTTTAAGATATACAGGCCCCCCCCCCCCCCCATTTTCCCTCTTCCATTCCATCCTATCAAGTGCCTGTAAGTGGAAGCATAATGAGGTAACATGGGTCATGAGTTTTAAAAGATGTCTACTTACATTTTAGTTAGCTTTTATTTTTAAACAAATGCCATTGCCGTATTTATTATAAAACACTTAAGACACTTTAAAGATCACCACAAATGTAGCAAAGACTACATAGGTAGTGATGAAAGGAGCCTTCATCATCAGCCATTTTTTGTCCAGCGAGAAAAAAACAGCCAGGACTTCTCTTTCCTAACTCAATTCAACCCTTCTCTGACTGGAATGGGATGCTCATCCCAAGGCTGGATAATTTAGCCCACAGAAATGTGTAAGAGCCAGCATGGAGGGGCAATTTGAATGTTGGATGAGGACATAGGAAGATCAGGGTCTGAATCCCTACTCAACCTTGGAAACCCACTGGGTGTCCTTGGGCAAATCATGTTCTCACCGCCCCAGAGGAACACAAGGGCAAATCTCCTCTATACAAACCTTGCAAAGAAAATCCCATAATAAATCCATCTCAGAGTTGCTATAACTCAGAAACGAATACACACAACAACAGAAATTCAACACCCCATCTTCGAATTAAAGTGGACAGAAGGAAGTTCTCTACATCAGGGTTTATTACACTTATTCCATTCATTGACCATTTCTACCCAAAAAATGTTCAGTGACCTTTCCTGAGAATTTTTAATACAACCCTGCACTTATAAATATGTAAAATGGGTATAAAAACCAAACATTTATAGATAATAAATAAGCATTTGAAAGACTTGCTAAACAGGCTGATTTCCCTTTTTATGAAACACAGCTGAAACATTTTCTGCAGAGTCCACTTCATGTTGTTGCTAACAGATTTCACGTAAATGTCTAGATTGTGTTCAGAAACATTTTACTGTTGCCAGTTTTTTCACAACATCAACAATGTTAAGAGAATGTATTTGTGTAGGCTATTGTGAAATAGCTTTGAAAGCATGAGTACAACGCAACAGAAAGAACATAGAATATTTAAATCAGCAGATTATCACTGTCCCATATGATTTACTAATCAACTCAAGAAACAATAGACAGAAATATTTTTTCCAGTTTTTGAAAGTTAATTTCTTTATTAAGTATACATGAGCCTGCAAAAGATGGTCAATCGGCTTCTACTGCATGGTTTTATTTCCAGTCAGCACTGTACACAGAAAGCCAGTATGCACATATGTTAATATCACAGTAATTGGATACAATAGAAGGAATGCTTCAGCCAGCCTGGAAGTTAAAATGATTTTGCTTCAATTTAAATACATATTGCTTCTCTTGCTTGAAGGCTGCAGAGTAACAAAACTCCTGCAGCATGTTTAGGTCTTTAAAAAATGATCCACAGAGTGGTCTGCAATTTAAGTCTTGAGATTTTAATTCCGTCTCTTCATTTATACAGTTTCACATAATTGAGGAAAACTCAAAGTTCTTCAGATGGTGATCTTTATATCCTGATTGGTTGGAAAAATTCAGTGAAGTAGAATCCAACCTATTTGCTGGAATTGTTACTGCTGATTTCGCAAAATAAAAGTTCTGTACAATGCTAAAATGTTAGCCTGCTAACAGTAATCTGGAACTATTTACTCTAAAGGCACCTATACTTTGTGGCACCCCTGAGATTCAGATAGTGTAGGGTTATGGGCTTTTGTCCAACATTCCTATTTGGAACTTATTCCCATCTAGTCTTTGATTCTGCAAAATACAGGGTGTACATTATTCCGCATCTAAAATAATTTAAGTGCTTCAGAAAAGAGTTCTAGAAAATACGAAAACTGGAAAGATTGGAAAAAATGATCTTAAATACTGTTCAACTTTCAGGTCAAACATGTCAAGAAGTTTCCTCAGCCTGCTACAACTGCATTTAAAGTTTGTAGTGATTATCAATGACATCATTTCCAATATTCTCAAGACTCAAGAACTTGGACATTTCCTCATTCCCTGGGACTGGAGCCTAGAGGAGGACAGATGATAGAGACAAACCATGCTGTGGGATGCAGAAGATTTTACCAGAGATATGATCATGTGTTTCGGTTTTAGAGCAAAAAAGGAAG